AAGGATTGTTTCTCCTGTGTAACAACAAGAAATTAGCATAATCAATCACACCACCGAAGAACAATAACAACATGATCCAAGAAGGTAGCAAGAACAAGCCTCAGAACTTTGGGTATACTCTCGACGACTTTATTCTCTTGAAACTGAAATAGTAGTGCCAATTTCATCCCCAACCAAAGACTTTTCTGAAATAGAAGTCACACCTCCATCATCATCCATCTATCTTTCAATTGCAATTCGAAAAGGAACAAGGAGCTGCACTCAACACCCTATTTCTCGGCTTGTGTCTTATGGAAACTTATCTAAGTCTTATAAAGCCTTTGTGTCTAATGTTGATACTGTAGAAGTTCCGAAAAACATGAAAGAAGCTCTTAAATCAACTGAATAGAGGCAAGCTGTGATGGAAGAATAAAGGCTCTCAAAGATAATGAAACGTGGAAAGTCTCGAATTTACCAAGTGGTAAGAAGACCATAGGATGCAAGTGGATCTTCACTACAAAATTTAAACCCGGTGGAAGTATCGACCGATACAAGGCTCAGCTTGTGGCTAAGGGCTTTACTCAAACCTATGACCTTGACTACGACGAGACATTTGCACCAGTTGCCAATATAAACACCATTCGAGTTATCATATCCCTTGCTATCAACTTGGATTGGCCATTGACCAAATTAGACGTAAAAATGCTTTCCTTAATGGAGAATTAAATGAGGAAGTGTACATGGACTTCCCACCCAGGTTTGAAGAGAGCAAGGGCCAAGTGTGTAAGTTAAAGAAGTCCTTATATGGACTAAAGCAATCTCCAAGGGCGTGGTTCAACCAATTTGCCAAAGCTATGATTAGTAGAAGATATATTCAAGGACATGTTGACCATATCATGTTTTACAAACACTCAAAAAGTGGAAAAATATTGCATTCTCATTATCTATGTGGATGATATAATATTAACAGGGGATGATTCAAGCGAAATTAAAAGGCTTAAAAAGTTTCTTAATGCTAAATTCGAACTTAAGGACTTGGGAAATCTTAGATATTTTCTTGGAATAAAGGTATCAAGGTCTAAGGCAGGTATTTCCATCTCCTAAAGAAAGTGTGTTCTCGATATGCTTTATGAAGTTATTTTTGTTGGGCTACAAACCAGCCGAAACTCCTATGGAATTCAATCTTAAATTGGGAACTGATCAAGATGGAGAAGATATCGACATGGGGAGATATCAACAGCTAATAGGGAGACTTATCTACCTATCTCACACTCGTCTATACATAGCTTTCAGTGTGAGTCTTATTAGAAAGTATATGCATGCTCCAAGGGAGAAACATCTGGAAGCTGCGTACAGGATATTATGGTATCTCAAAGGGACTCCGGGTAAAGGCCTGCACTTCAAGAAAACTACCAATCGAAATGTATAAGTATACACTGATGCAGACTGGTAGGTGTTGTTAATGACAGACATTCTACAAGTGGTTACTGTAGCTACATTTGGGGTAATCTCGTAAAATGGAGAAGTAAAAAATAGTCTGTTGTAGCGCGAAATAGTGCAGATGCATAGTATCGAGCACTATCCCATAGTATATGCGAAAAAATTTGGATACAACGATTACTGAGAGAACTAAAAGTGTCCTATACCAGACCTATAAAAATTCATTGTGACAACCAGGCAGCTGTCAGTATAGCACATAATCATTTTCACCATGATCGCACCAAACATGTAGAAATTGATCGCCACTTCATCAAAGAAAAAATTAACTCATGAGAGGTTTCTGTTACCTACCTACCTACGAGACAACAAGTTGCAGACTTGTTGACCAAAAGTTTAAGTAGAAACATGTTTGAAGAAATTATTGGCAAGCTGGGTTTGATAAATATCTACACTCTAGCTTGAGGGGGAGTGTTAGAATTCCTAAAATTAAGTATAAATTACTTACATTATTCTTAGGAGTTCCCTTGTTCAGTGGGATCTAATCTTAGTCTCTAATTCTTAGGGAGTTACTAATTTTTAGAGATTGTTTCCTTGTTTATACTCTGACTACTTTGTATAGGTTGTAAACTATTTAATAAAAAATAACAACCTTCTTTCTAAGTTTGTTCAATAAATCACACTGATGAAGAGATGCTGGAGTGGGGACTCTCACCGGATATGATAAAAGACCAGAAATGGTGAATCACTGGTAACAAGGCTGATTGGAATAATCACTGTACCTGGTATCTTAGGTCATTTTTCGACTATGAATTAGATTCAGAAGATGATGTTGAAAGTAATTTATATTCATTCCCAAAAAAATAAAAAAGTGTAGAATTGTAGATACTAATTCTTTGAATGCAAAAGTTGTATTACAATTAATGCCTTATCGTATCATCTATGCAAACCAATTTTGAAACCATTTTCTTCGGTGATCGAGCTTCAGTTCAAATTGCAGACGTTTCTGGTGCTTTATCGTCATTTTTCTCTTCATAGAGATGTTGCGGAAGAAATGCCACTTTCACTGTGATTATATATTGTTTCTGCCTGTAATTTGACTTGCTTCTTCAACCGGTGTAACTTCATCCATGGGATGCTTTGCTTCATTGGTGATGGAGCTGAGCACTGGGAGAAGGTAACTGAACTGATGGCTGGTGAGAATCCTGGCCTAAAGTTACACAATTCATGGCATATGTTGCTAGATATTTCATAGATTCAGCCAACGGGAATAGAGGGAAGTTTTTAACTCATTTCATTGATGCTTTACTTTGGAAACAAGAAAACATTACTTGGGAGTAATACTTTACTTTTCTCATTAGATTCCCTTTTCTTATGACACCTATATTTGCTATTGCTTCAGTTCAAAGCATCAGAGGCTAGCAAGACTTTCATAAGGTTATTCTATAACATCATCAAAAATTTCAATGATATTTGGATTTCGGTGTGAGTATCAAATACGACGGACTCATATCATATGAGCAATACAAAAAATTTTAGACGGAGTGGACACAAATAAAATTTTAAGGTAGACACTATCAATAAAATAAATAACTAATAGAAAAATAGATTTCAGGATAGGCGCATGTCTATGTCTTTGAAATGGATATATTTAGTTTTTATCTCGTTTTTGGATTACCTCTAAAAGGTCTTATCTTCATATCTATAAAAGGATTTTCTTCGGGCACAAGTAAGGTTGTAAACAAGTCAAATCGAACTTGAGTATTATTGACTTCTATTCGACTTGAAAGTTCACGAATTTAAAATTGTTAAATTCAACTTGAATTCAAGATAAAAAATTGAAGTTTGACTCGAGCTCGAAAACACTTGAACTCGAAAATTATCAGACTTAGCTTGATTGAAACTCAAACTCAAGTTTGATTCAACTTCAAACTCAAGTTTGATTCAACTTCAAACTCAAGCTCGAACCTGAACTTTAAATAACATATAAATGTTAATGTTATCAATAATTTAATTTAAAAATTTAATTAATCAAAAATAATAATTTAAATTTTTAATATATTATTTTTTTGAATTACTCGTAAAGATTTTGAGTAAGGTATCAAGTAGCTTGCTTCGACTCGTACGGACTGCTGCAACCGATTGATTCTCTCCCGGTTCAGCATTTTCGATGAACAGAATTCTCAAGTCTTCAAGGCTGGGACTATCAGCAGCATCTGAAACCATTTGGTTTTGCATATAGTAGCAGCACCAATGGCTTCCTGTTCCACCTGAACATTTGGTTTTGTATGTCGTAGTAGCACTGTTAATCATGAACTGACTCTTGGGATTCAGGGTTTTAATGGGAGTGCTGTTGTTTAGAGAGGGAAATTTAGGGTTTGGTAAAGGGATGATGAAGTTCATAGTTGTTAGTAGAGAAGAAGATAATGTGCGACAGTTACTTATGGTCGTTATGTCCCACCATTTAATACTTGCAGGAGGGCATTGTAGTCATTTTGTTTAAGAATAATGTAACATTTAATCCCTGAATTCAATACATTTTCTCAAATTGGTCTCTGACTTTGAAAATTTCATATATATATATATATATATATATATATATATATATAAAAGGAGGAAGAGGGGGTTGCCGTGGATCAAATTTGTGATCTAATGCTAATTAAAATTGAAATGATATCTTTGATTTGAATTTGATAATTCTTTTATCCGATTTGATCTTATAGAGTCAATTTTTTTATTAAAAAAAAATTGGGTTAACGTTGAGTTTTTTTGGTGGATAAGGTTGGGTCTATTCAAATTAGAGTTTAGGATAAAAAATATTTAATTTACTCAAAAATAATAGTATAATTGACATTTATATATTTAAGGATAATTATTATAATATCTTATATATTCAATTATATCCTTATTTTACCTAATAAAAATGAGAGTTTTATGTATAGTGTCACATCAAATGTAAATTTTTCTTTAAAAGTTGAGTCGGTTTTGTATTGGATAAAATTTTATTAAATTCAAATTAAATTAAATAATAAATATTGTACTAAATCAAGTTCGAATAGATAAAAATCAGACGCAATCCATTATTGTAGCTAAATAAACCATTAACTTGATCTACTATTTTTCTTGTTGTGTATGTAGATGGATGAGAGACATCATCTTCAAAAATAATAGTATAATTGACTTTTATATATTTAAGGATAATCACTGTATATATATTCAATTAAATCTTTATTTTATTTAATAAAAATGAAAGTTTTATATACAATGTCACAGCAAGTGCAAATTTTTCTTCTAAAATTGGGTCTGTTTTAGATCGAATAAAGCTTTCTTAAATTTAAATCAAATTAAGTAATAAACAAAAGAATATTATACTCTAATCGAGTTGGAATAAATAAAAATCAGAGGCAATCCATTACCATACCTAAATAAACCATTAACTTGATCTACTATATTTTGTTGTGTATTTAGATGGATGAGGGACACCATCTTCAAGTGAAAAAATGTGGCCAACCAAATCCAAAACAAGACAAAATCCACACCACACAAGTACTCTAAACTAAACTAAACTAAACAGAACCAGAAAAAACACTGAACCAGTAATGAAAAAACCTCTCCTTTCTTTCAATTTCTCTGTTATCCACAAGCTGGTGCACAGTTAAAAATGGAAACAATTCTTTCTTCTCACACCATTCATCCAACCTTGAATCCCAAATCATCCATTTCAAAGAATCTTTTGTTGTCTTCACATCAACCAAGATCAACCCATCTCTTCCTCTCAAAACCCATCGCTTGTACCCTCAAGAAACACGCTTCCCAATCTGTAAAACCATCATCTTTGGCAGAACCCAAGAATTGGTTTGCTCATGCACAGCAGGGAGTGGCGGCTCTTGCTATCTCTTTGGCACTCAATTTTTCTCCGGTTTTGTTCACCGGCAATGCAATGGCTTCGGAGTTTGATGTGATAAACGAGGGGCCGCCGAAGGAATCTTATGTCGTCGATGATGCTAATGTGCTTAGCCGGGTGACGAAATCGGATTTGAAGCGGCTTTTGTCTGATCTGGAGTCGAGGAAGAATTTTCACATTAATTTTGTTACTGTTAGAAAGCTCACTGTAAGATTCTTGTTTTCATGAATTTTCTTGTTTACTTGTATAATTGTGAGAGTTTGTGAATTTTATGAGATGCCCTTTGGTTGGTTCATCCTTGTTCTTTAGTCATTAATTGTCTGTTTGGTTACTTAGAAAATCAAGGAAAAGGAAAAATGTTGTATGCAGTTTTTGAAGTTTAGCTTAAACCTAATTTAATATTCGACCATTAATTCCTTTTATTTTGCTTTGAGTTTCTTAGTAAACTGTGAGATCATAAGTTACTCTTAGCCTTCGAAACAGATGCAAAATTTGAGAACTTTGATTTTGATTGCAGAGCAAAGCTGATGCTTTTGAGTATGCTGACCAAGTTCTGGAGAAATGGTATCCTACACTCGAAGAGGGTAGTAATAAAGGGATCGTTGTGCTCGTTACGAGCCAGAAAGAAGGGGCAGTCACCGGTGGACCTGCATTTGTCGAAGCCGTGGGTGAAAATATTCTCGATGCAACTGTAACTGAGAACCTTCCAGGTAATTATTTCTGAAGTTGAAACTTGAAAACCTTCATATTTTCTTTTTTCTCATGCGCTTGAAAATGTTGAAGATGTTGCTGATTGTGAAATCTGTAAATCATGTTCCGTAGCAACGATAAGGCCATCGAAAACTTGAAAAACATAAGAATTCAAAGATTACTAGGGAGAGGTTTTGTGGAAAGAATCATAAGTACTTGCTTCAAAACCCTGTAGAATTACTCTATCCTGCTGATTGAACTCGTTGGAATCACTTTTCTCGCCTTTACGATGATAGAACTAAAACAACTGCAAGATCAACATGCGCAAACCATCGGAATAAGATCTTAGTTGTCTTCTTTAGCTCTTTCGATGAGTTGTTGGTGCTAGGTGACATATATTATTCATTGTGCCATTCTAATTACCACTCTTCACCAACAAGCTGTCTCCTTCGATTGTGTTGTTTCAAACTACACTTTAGGCCTTGCTCTCTTTTCCAAGGACAGAATATTTTGAGTTCTAGTTGCCAATTCGAAAATAGCATCAGATACTTGGTTTTCATTTCAACTTAATGAACTTATTTTAATTGCTTCAAGTCTCGAACCATATCGGCCTTTTCCCATCAATAGTATAGCTTACGGTGAAAACTGGAGTTTCATATACAGAAATAATATTTCTTTTCCTTTCATTTTGTCTATTGCAACCGTACTCATCATAGCATCGTCCGTCACGGTTGCAGTTTTGGCTACGGAAGAAAAGTACAACGAAGCAATTTACAGCAGTGCCAAAAGGCTAGTTGCTGCCATTGATGGACTTCCGGATCCTGGCGGCCCCCAGTTTAAGGACAACAAGCGGGAGTCGAATTTTAAATCCAGGGAAGAGACCGAAGAGAAACGGGGACAATTCAGTCTCGTAGTTGGAGGTTTGTTGGTGATTGCTTTCGTCGTTCCCATGGCACAATATTATGCCTATGTCTCCAAGAAATAAAAGCTAATCTGTATGATGAGATTTGTCTTTCAAATCTCTTCCCTTTGATGAGGAAAACATGGATAACATGTAGTTTATACATTTACTCATGTTAAATATGGTTGATGAGAGAAACTTGGGATCCAAGCATTAGTACAGATTTGTGGTTCATGTTCCGAGAAAAAAAAGCTCGATTATAACACGAGATAGGCATCGATAATCTGCATAATCAGAATGCGTAAGGTTTCAAATCGAAAAAAGAAAGTTAAATGTAATTAAATGGCAAACTGCAATATCTGGAAAATGGACTTCCAATTAAAATTATAATTCTTTACAGTAATTTTTATCAATAACATTTGCAGTGACTACTAGAAGTCGATACAAAGAGTTAAAGCAATGAGTAACATTCAGCCTTCAGAACTTGAGATTGAGAAGGAAGGGCATTTTGTCCCAAAAGGGTGGATCGGAGTACTTTCCAGTGAGTATTTGCGATGAAACATACTGATTCGCAGCCTCTGAGTAATGGATTCCGTCCCAGTTAATATATTCGGAACTATCATTGCATGCTTTGGCTGTCACTGTGGCTCCATTAATCTCTTTCGTTTTCCCACAAGCGATTCGGCTATCATAATTCAACGGTGGACCGCCGAACCCACAACAAGCCATTATAGGCTGCTCAAATCCTGCAAAACAGTAAGCACTCAAAGGATAACAGCTTTGCTTATCCTGAAATTTGAAGCAACTAAAACTACATTTAGAGGTGAGAAAATGAGCATACTTACCGAATTTAGAATAATTCGAGATAAGGTTGTACTTTATTGTGTAGATGTCGACGTAGGTAAAATTCGAATCCATATACTGGCCCTGTAATTTTTTAGTAAGGGCATGAAGCTGCAGATTGAAGACTTTAGCAGCTTGGTTATGCTTGCTGACACACCCTTGCTCGTTGAGGATCGATGGATCGGTTCCGAATTTGGCCACATTTTGAGCCAAGCATCCAAGAGGTCCTGTGTTATGTATCCAAAAGTTTCTTGCCCCTTGATCATATAATGTCTGCAAAGAATGCCCAGAACTGCATTAGAAAACATGGGAAACCCTGAAAATGAAAAGCAAACAACAACTATTCGAATTCCGGTGTTCTTGAATAGGACCTTTATCCCAGTTTCGAATTCTATCAAGATTGTTGGAATTGTGGCAAGTACTTGATCATAAGTCTTGGAATAAAAGGCACCGGCGAGATCGTTCTGGCCGATATCGAACATGTATAGCCCCTTCTGGAAGTAATCTTGTGCTGGAAGGTACTTATAAAGTCTTTTACCTTTAGCTAGCAATTCTAGAACCCTACCTTTGAACCGTATGAACTGAGCCACTTGAACTCCGAATGAAAATGGACTCACAGCTTGTGCCGAAGCCGGTTGGATGGTTGATCCTGCAGCCGCAAAATTACACCCTTTGCGAAAACTCGGTATCCCGATCGAATCCAGATAAGCATTCAAAAATGGCAGATCCATTGCATCCACTGCAACAACAAAAAAAAAAAAAAAAAGAGATCAAAACACCATACAATTAAAGCTGCAGACACAACACATTCTAAACAGTGAGAAAGTTAACTGAGAAAATCAATGATTAACCGCCCATCACAGTATCTCCCGGAGGGTATTTGAAAGTAACTCTGGCCATGAGGTTGTTCAAGGCTCTCGATACCGGCGGAAATAAGCTCACCGGTATCGGAATTAGAATCGCCGAAGTTGAAGATAGACGGGAATTTGAAGTGAATGGAATTTGTAAAAGGCAAGAAGATGAACATCAAGACAAATATTTGGAGGATGTAACGCTTGGAAGCCATGGATTACAAGCACAGGAATCACCAGATTACACTGAAATTTAATTTCTCGTTGATTACCAAATGCCAACTATAAATAATAATTCTAGGTTGGTGGATCGTATGTGTCCCAGCCAGTAGAAGTTTGCTTTCGATGGTGGTAACACACAGGAAATCGACAATACAATCAAACATTTTAACTTTTTGTTTTTGTTTTTTAAATTACAAGGCTGGTTTTGGGACATCACATGCCCCATGCCCAACTCTTATCAAATAATCATCACACCAAGAATTATAATCCAATTATTTACGAGATTTTTTTTTGTTGCCTTCCCAGTTCCAAGGCTTCACCTTGAATAATTCGAACCGACCCACGTCATATATCTACTTTGGTGTGTGAGTCTCCTAGCAGAGATTTTCTATCTACACAAGAACTCAAACACGAGACATTACTTAAACAATATTAAGTTGATTACCACTTAAATCAACCTTACGAGATTATTTTAATATAATATCTAAACTATTCAAATCCCACCCTAATTATAAAAATCGAAAAATAATACTATATATTTAATCATGGTTAATGACACGTCATCTTGAATATTACAATAACAATTATATCAACTAAATTAAAATTAAGTTGATATTATTTTTAAAATTAAGCTGGTATAGTATAATGAGACACTGATGGTTGCACATTGTTCTAAGGTTGGGTAAGTGTTCATCTTGAAATTTAATTTTTTTTATGTTAATTATATATTTTATTGATTGTGCTCACTCACGTACAAAAATTTTATATTGTGAATATACGTGTGTCCACCATCAATTTTTTTTAATCTACCATTAGAAAGTATTATATCCCTTAAACAATGTAAAGGATTCAAATCCCAAAATTGTAAATGAACCAAATTGGTTTAGGAGGGTCACTCCCATAATGGCCTTTGTAATACTCATCATAATTAAATTATGCTGAATTAAAACATAAGGACTAAATTGCAAATGTGAGCATAATAAAGAAAACGAAACTAAATTTAACCAAAAACTACTATAAAAATTTTCCATGTTGCGGGGAGCATATTATATCTTTTAGGTAAATTACAAGTTTAGTACCTAAACTATTACAATTATTATGTTTTAGTACCCACTTTTTTTTTCAAAATCATGTCTAATGTTTAGTTTAGGTTTCATTTTGGTACTCGCTGTTAAAAAATTAACAAAATTGTTGACGTCACCTTTTTCTTTATTTTTTCAATGATGACGTGATATTATCTTATGGTGACACATCAACATCATTATTTAGTTTTTAACGGCAGAGTATCAAAATGAAACCTAAACTAAACGTTAGGTATGATTTTGAAAGAAAAAAAGTTTGAGTACCAAAACGGAACAAAAGTAATAGTTTAGATACTAAACTTGTAGTTTACCCTATCTTTTATGCATAATGAAAGCACACTTATTATTGATAATTTGAAGTGAGGATAAGAGTATTACTTAGGAAATCAACGATGAGTCGACCATCGGAAAACCTGCCGGAAGGAGCCTTGAAGTAATTTTGACCATTAGGAGGGTTCAATATGTCTCCCAATGCTGCAACAAGCTCACCCGTGTCGGAGTTTGAATCACCAAAGTTGAACACAGCCGGATAATTGAACTAAACACAGTTCGCCATGGCAGACAAGAGGCAAAGCAATGTTATCATCTACAAAACCAAAATGTTGCTGCTGTGATTAGCCATGTGGAAAAAGAAAGGGTTTGCAATGATGAAGAAGAAGAGAGTTTTGGACTTCTTTTTATGGGCTAATTGTTTATGAGTTCACTTAGAAGCCAAGTGGGGGAACTCACAAAAGCAAAATCAAAGGGGTTTATTTAAGGTATAATGTCAAAATTAATCCAAAACGTTGTTTGAATGGTCACTTTGATCCATGTCTGTTTTAGAACACTTTAGTTCTTAATATTTTAATTTTTGGTCAAAATGACCCTTGTTAGATAAAAACTATTAGTTGACTAATGTTTAACACATGTTATTGACATGACATTTCTAGATGTGTTAAATTACTAACGTGACATATATTATGCCATTCAAGGTGATGATGTGACATGTAACACGTCATTGAATGTGATGACATGGTATGAGACACATCAACAATTAAGTACGTGTGAAAATATTACATCAATGCATGCGCTGACTGATAGTCAACTAACGGTCCAACATGGACTATTTTGACAAAAAATTGAAACGTCGAGACTAAAATGTTCCAAAATAAAAGAATAAAGGTTAAAATGACTATATGGAAAAGCATTGGAGGGCTAATTTTGACATTATACCTTTATTTAAATATATTTTTCTGTTGAAGGAACCCGTGAACGATTGGAACAAAGTGTTGAGGACTATGGGAATGGAGAGGTTTGTGGCAGGGAAATGAGCACCATTGTGGAAGCAAAGTGCCTTCCACGGCTGGTATTTTAGCTTGATGCATCCCTTTGTTTTGTTCTCCTTCTTACTCCATTGGGTTACTTGTATTTCTAGCTCCAACCACGATTCTTCGTCTGGAAAACAACTTGTTTTTGCTTTAGTACAGAAATTTAAATTGGGATTGAAGTTGCATTTTCGATTACGTTGTATTTAACGTAATTCTGAACATAATAAATATTATTGTGATAATTGCAGATATCGTGATCATGAAATAACGGTTTTAGACAACACCGTTACTGTTATATAACGCCAGCTATTCTGTATTCTACTGGCTCCAAACCAAAGTTACAGCACAGTTCACTGGTTGGAATCATAAAAAGAATTTACTTTGGATACAATGAACCAAAACAAGAAAACTTTAGACAATTGTTCTCAGGACAATCACAGAATGGTTGTCAGTAGCACTTTATAGTAAATTTTAAAACCAGACACAATGTTATCCCATTTATCCCCATTCAAGGCAAGTGTAAAACAAGAGTATATGTCTCTTAAAGTAATATTCAATTTTATAAAGTTTTCCACTAGCATGATATAAAATTATTTTAGCTTTACAAGGATATAGAACTATCATATTAGTGAAAATAGATGGCTGATATTAACAATAGAAAAATGAAAACATATTCACTGGAAAAAAAATAAAGAATTAATCTCAACCTATTTATTTTCACTCATCTAACAGTTCTAAATCAATTTTCGATCACATTTGAAAATTGAAGGTTCCGCCCAAAGTGAAAATTCTTATGGATGTTGAAAATAGATAGGCTACAAACGAAGGAGTTTCTTTTAGCAAGGGGTGAAATTAGACGGATCTTCGAGCTGCTGCCCTTAGTGTAAAACAGGTGTGGAATCAGCTTTTCACCTATTTTTCCATTGTAGATTTGTAAACTGCTTCTGGAAAAATTTCTGTAAATGGTAGTTGATAGCGTGGCCTTCTCTTAGAAGCTTTGACTTGTTCTTTACCTTTTGTTTTTCGAGTTCCTTGACAGGTTCGACAAAATCAGCCTGGTTAATCTCGGTCGCTGCGGCTTTATGGAGTGTGTGGTTAGCTATAAACGAAATGGTGTTTGAAAATAAAGCTACAGCTCAAAAGGAACTCTTGTTGACTGTCAAGATGAGGGCACTTATCTGGATTAAAGCAATAAGCGATAATATACTTGTGTATGAAGCTGATTGGTGGAACAATCCCGTTGATTGTTTAATTGCCAAGAATTCACAGCTGGTGTGGTGCCCTTGAAATTTAATTTGGATGGAGCCCTTAAAGATACGACAGCAGATTGTGGAGGCGTTTTGAGATAGTGTAGAGGAGATGTTAAAGCGTTATTCTCAGGTCCTGTGGCCCTGTGAATTCTGACTTTGTGGAATTGGTGGCAATAAAACTGCTCTGATGATGTTCTTGGAAACTGGTTGGTTTAAAAAATTTAGGTTGATAATCGAATCAGACTCCCGAGTTGCGTTGAAGTGGAAAATCTGTCCTTGAGGCCATGGAGGTGGTGGGATTTATTCGAGGAGATTGATAAGTTATCAATTCAAATTTCAAGGGTGAAGTTCGTTTATGTCCCACAAGAAGGTAATGGGTTAGCGGATCAACTGGCGAAACAAAGTTTACTTCACTTGGAGCCGTTCAAAGCGTGGTGAGAATAGTAGGCATCGAGTGGCTGCCTTGAGGTTGTGGAGCAGGTTTTGTATGTGCGTATCAATGCTAATTGCTTCAGAGTGTGGTTGTTAGGAGTTGTGTTTTGCTTTGTGCTCATGTGATAGCCTTGTGATTGTTTATTAGATTCTATTAGCATTTGTGGTTGTCTTGTGGTACAGGGGTATGGCGTGTAGTATTCTGATGTTGGTCATTTGTACCTTGAATGGGGTGCAGTCTTTTCCTCCACATAAGATTAGATAGATTTGTAACGAGACCCCAATCTTGATCATTTATTGTTAATAAAATCTAACTTGCTGAGAGAAAAAAAAAAGGATTTTGAATTGTGCAAGTATGACATTTGGATAAAACTTTAAACATCAAAGGAATATTAAACAAGTATGACATCTGGATAAAACTTTGAACATCAAATATAAATAGTAATAAAATGTGGCTTATGGTTTAATTGTTAAGGCGTCCATTTGAATTTTAAAAAGGTCAATTATATTAATGGTCATTGAATTTTCAAGTCATTTGTACTTCGGTTAACAGTAGGAAATGAGAAGATATTCATTGAAGGAAAAAATAAGGAGTTAATCTCAACTATTTATTTTCATTCATATAACGATCCTAAATCTATGTAAAACTAATAGAGTTTTACATTGTATAAATGATCATAATCATAAATATATCAAAAGAATGTTATAAACAAGTATGGCAATTGGATAAAATTTTGAATATCAAATATAAATAGTAATAAAATGTGGTGTTATGGTTCAATTTTTAAGGCATGCCTTTGAATTTTAAAAGGGTCAATTATATTAATGGTCATTGAATTTTTAAGTCATTTGTACTTCAGTAATCTAAAATCTAAAATTTGTATTGTAGTCACTTAATTTTAATAATATTTTTATTGCAATTGCCATCGTTAATGATAAGCAATGTGACATGTTTATATGT